AAAGGGGCCCCCCCCCCCCCCCCCCCCCCCGTCTGCCTTCTTCAAATTCCAAAAGCCGTGACATCGCGGCGATCCACGAGGCGTGCGTCGGAGGAGCGGTGGACTTGGCTTGCGCCTGCGACGTTAGGCTCTGTTCCGAGGACGCGGGATTCTACGTCGCTAATATCAAGGTCGGCCTATAGCGGCGGACGTACGTGGAGACGCTATTTACAACGAATAATTTGATGCATACCAAGATTTTCCGGACCCCCCCCCCCCCCTCCCTGCTTGTTCCTTTCCTATTATTATCATAGAATGCTAGGGTTTTGTAGGAACAACAAAGAAAGGTGATGACGGTGCTGTTTCCATTAGACTATAACTAATTTTATTGCTAGGGGAACCCACACCTTCCTTTGCGTAGAATGTGCGGCTTGCGGTGCGCCTTCGAAAGCTCGTGTCTTGCATGCCGATATGAAGTCGGAAATGTAACGCGCAAATGTGGTCTGATTTAGTCTTTCTTCTTCACAGCGCGTGTCTGTCTGTACGGTCTTAATACCGTATCGTCATCAGCAAACAAACAGAGAAGACCCTCGCCAGCGGCCCTTTTCACAAGGAACATGCATGCATCAACCGCATACCGTTTTCGTTGATTTCCTTCAAATCAAGCACGTGGAGATGCAACACGCAACCTCGCCTCAGTAAAAGATGGCAAGAGAATTCTGTGAGGATGGAACCCCAAAAAGCCAGAAATTCGTGTTGGGCGTTCTCTTCGACCCTTTAGAGTGAGACGTGCCTACTATGCATACGTACAGGCGAAGCAATCAACATAACGTTCAATAAACAACCCGAAACCGGCGTGTGTCGTTGTGTGGACGACAAGATAGCCCGAACGGAGGCCATGAATACCAGCTGCATGACGCTCCGGAAAAACACTCGCATTCATTCACATGCACGGTTTCACGACGTTGACAGCAGGTCTTTTCTTGTTGTCATTTCGGCACGAGAAGCGCTGCGTGCGTGTCTGGTGCTTCCAGTCTTAGCCGGACAAGGGAGACGCCAGGCTCTCCTCTTGCGGCACTATTTTCTGAACCTCTGGCACAACGGCTCTCAACCAACGATGGGCTTCGTGCCGTGATCGTCATGTGCACATGTATACCACACCCACCATGCTCCAGCACAAGATCGGTTGCCCAAACGGTTCGTCTCTTATGTAGCCCATCTGCGTATCTGTCTATCTAGCCGCGAGGGTGATGTTAAAAGAATGGAGAGTATGCATACGACTTCTCCAAACAAGCCGAGAGGAAAACGCTGGTCCAGTCTCCGCTGCGCGCAGCACACAGACCACAAGCTTTGTGCATCACACAGCCCCCAGACGCACGCCATCAACGATGAGGCCCTCCAGTCGGAAGGAGTCAGTGGCCACCTTCAGGCGGTCCTTAGCGCCCCCTTCTTGATCCCAATCCGTGTTCAGCGCGCCTGAATGATCAGGCCCACGTAACAGCAGCAAGCGAAGCACATCGGGCGTAAGGCGTTCAAATAGGGCAAGGATGGAGATGCGTTGCAGGAACCGGTGCGATGAAAGCTTCTCTTGGTGCGATGAGACTTGTTCTTCGCGGTCTGGGGGGGCGGTAGTCAACGCAGTCGCACCGTCTTCTACAAAGGTCGACCCACCACAACAATGTCCGTGAAGTTGGTGCAACAGGGACAGACACGCTTCTTCGAATTCGCTCCAAAGAACATGCTTCACACGGTGGTACACGGGGACCTCGACGAAAGACGAACTGCTGGTCGCAAACGCACCTGCCCAGACAACGAGAAAGCTGCCGTCGCCGCGCATGATGGCCTTGACGTACGTGTTCCGGTACAGCTCGCTCACCCCTTGCTCCTTCTCCAACAGGTCGGCCCGCATCACCTTGATCGGCGACTTGAGCATAAACTGCGGATGAACCGATGCGAACACAAAGAGCACGCGCGTGTCCCTCGGAGTGAAACAAATGTTAGAAATAAAAAAAAACGCTTACAGGGACCAAAAAAGGACAGCAGGAAGTGCTATAGCGGCACGAGTCCTGCAGAATACCAGAAACAACCGAACGTAAGAGGAGAGGGGTCGCGATCGGCAGCTTTTGTTGGGTGAGGTACAGTATCACCGCAAATGCACGACGCCCGCAAATGCAGTCGACAGCTCGGTTGCTCGTTGTCAGTCGACAGGAGACCCTACCTGCGCTTGGCAGGACCAATCACGCGCTCTCGTCGTTCAAGCACAGGCCCGTGAGCTTCTGGGAAAAATCGCAACGTGCCCATGCATGCCCCGTCCGTGTATACTCTCGGCATGGAGGAGTTGCGTCTAGGTGATACTCGCATCGGCCTTACTGGTGGTGGACCTACAAGAGACCGAACGTTGCAATACTGCCTGCCGCATCTGACAGATTTTCCTTCGGAAACGAGCCATCACAAGGGTCATGGCAAAATGTGTACAACACGGCGGGTGCGCTTGATCGACATCAGAACACAAAACCAGGAAGCCTTGCGCGGGCGACCCTGCGGTGCCGTTCGTCCCGAGAAAAAATCTTTCGCAAGAATCAAACCCACGGCTCGACGGTAAAATAGGTAAAGATGTAAAATCCTCAGCGGCGTAGCCCTCTTCGGACTCTGACTACTGCATGTGGCAACAACGGCTCCTGCTCATTTTACGGGAACATTCATCCTGCGCATAGACGCCGGTGTTTCCATGCGTATACACGAGTCGCCCCCGAAAGGCCGAGACTCGCTTCTACATCCGTGCGGACTCAAAAATCGTTGACAACACCCGAGCTTTTTCTCTTCTCAAGTTCGGCCGGCTGACCTGCAGAACGTCTCCATCCAGTGTCACCCCGGGAAGGACGACGCTCTCCACCGGAGTTCCCCCCGCCGCGTCAGAATCCCTTCTCTGCTTGAGCAGATCCGCGATCGCCGCAGGCTTGCCCACGTTCTCCCACTTGGTCAGGTCTCCTATCGTAGGCAGGCCTGTTGAGGCGGGGGCGGAACCGCACAAACGTTGCTGGTGGGGAAAGAAGGTATGTAGATCTCAGCTCGATGTTGGATAGGTGAAGCAGGTATGCATGAAAATCTGAGCTCGTGGTTGGACGGGGCTGAAGGGGCTCGATCAACGCGGACGGTGACGGATTGAAAGCTTTACTACTGCTGTAGACGTACACGAAATAGTATGCGGGTGTCTCCGGCCCAGACGCTCTCCCGCCAGATCTCCACAACCCCACGGTTCCGCTGGAGACTGTGTCGTCTTGCGACCCCTCTCGCAGAATCCCGCCTACCCCATCAGCCCCCCGCTCTAACTTCCGCAGGTGTACCGCCGCCACGGCCATTACACAGAAGTTCGTCAGGTGTTATGCTGCCTGAGTCCCCGCGTAGTTTACCCGCGAAACACAAAACGTGGTGCCGCGTAGAACGGCCGAACACCAGCGGTTCATTCCCAGCGAAACACATCGTCCGCATATCGTGGAAGCAGCGTCTGGTCTCAATCACTCATGCGTTACAATCCCAAATCCTCGCCTGCATCTCCGCCAAGGGTGTGGCAGGTGCCGGCAAAGGCGGCGGGCGCCGCAGAGTTCGGCAACACTGCACGCGAGACGCATGCATGCTCGAGGTTATCGTGGGCGTGCAATAAAATGGTCTTGGTGATGTACACGACTGCCACCGTTTGCTCATCTACGTCCGACTCTTGGGGCCGAAGCTCGCGCGTGAAAACAACCTTATCGTGCGAGGCTTTCGCCCTCAAGGCTGACCTCTACGCGAAGATACACACGAGGATCGACCGACAAAGACCACCCCCTCACCTGCATCGGTCAAAAGGTCGAAGGTCTTCACCACTTGGACCGACAACACTTCGGCTTTGCTGTAGTCGCCGGCCACGAATACCGTCCCCCGTTTGTCCTTGGCGCGCTCTGCCCGCAGAAAGTTCTTGGGGATGCGGCAGCTGAACAGCCCGCGCGAATCCTCGAAGTCCACGAACTCGGTTGCTGCGACAAAAGCACACGCAGCAACAGGACGCGGAGGGGGGGTAACATGACGAGGGATGGGAAGAAGCAGGCGAGTCAAGACAATGTGCGTCCGCCAACGAGCACCATCCGCCGTTGTTGCATAGGTCGTGTCGAGATCCTTCACCAAGTTCAACGAGGAAGTCACGTACCTCACACAGCAGTCGGGTTAAGTCCCGAAGGTAAGACCACGATCGACTTGTTGATACTGCATCAAGTCGGTGTTTCCTCATGTGTACATGAAGCAGTACATATGTAGGCGATGTCTTTTTTCACCTGGGGTTCGTTCGCAGTTTTTTTCCCCGCAAAATCAGGATTTTATATGATACCCACACGTGTTTGCAATGGAAGATAGGCTCGGGCATTACCTTTCGGTGTGCGCCGACAGATTTGGACGCTGGGCATCTCTATCCACGACACGGCAGAGAGTCCGTCTACTGAACTGCCTGTTTGTGTGGTGATCTCAGGCAACGTTTACGTCGACCGGTACCCCTCCAACTGAAACGTACCCGCAACTTCCGCTGCCGAGGATGGTTGCGATCCCCCACAAACCACCAGCGCTGCCCCTCCTATTGCCGCCGCTGCTGCTGTTCGAAGGAAACCCGCTCTGCTGTCCATATCCGCCAACATCCGAGGTTGCTGTTGCTGCGCATGTTTCCATTTGTATGCTGAAAGCGGTGCAATTGAAGGGGTATTTATTCTCGTGGGATGAAAAGCAGATGGAGCTAGAGCGACCACTCGGCAGCACAAGGCCAGAACAACCACCGCTTTGCAGGAGCTCTTCGTTGGCTGTACCCTGCGGAAACAAGACGCCAAAGCCATGTCGTTGCGGATTGGTGAGTGTTCTGCATGAGACCGCCGTGGGTCGGAGCTGCGCAGAGTAGGGCCAGGCGAACATGAAATTGTTACCCCTCCCACTAAATACTGCTTTCCTATCCGCGAGCCCTCTTGCTGCCCGCCGTCCGTGGCAAGCAACTGAACTGCCCGTGGCGACACCACAGGCTAGACAGCGGAGGAGACAGAGCAAAGACAGCAGAGTGACCATCGAAGGGCTGGGGAGGGTTGGAGCACATGTCGCTATTGCGAAGAAACACGGTGGGGTGCCTGCAGACTTTAGCCCGAGGATGCAAGAATCCTAAGAAGCCCCAGCACTCCAAGCGGAGCCAGATCGGGCTCTACGCCGGGAAGGACATCGGGTGGGTTGCCGTGGTGTGGCTTGTTACACAGCACACAGCACACGCTGTGTTAATATCGAAGAAAGAAGGCGACTACATGGCAATCGCTGGGAATTGCATCAATAGCCAAAGTGATTGAGAGATGCCTTTGTGTGCTAAGCAGCAGTACACCCTTGTGCGCAGCCTCCACCTTGTGTACTCAGCTGCTACTGCTGTACCTAATGTAGCTGCTCTTTGTACCTGTCTTTCTTGACCACGGACTGTGCTGTGCGCTCCCCCTCCTAGAAGCACCGAGGGTCTTCACGGTGCAGTGCAGCGCTGTACTCGTACTGCTTGCTTTGTTGTACGATAGTGTGACTGGGAGAAATTCTCGCGCGATTTGTTGTTTCGAACCCCTTTCTAGCTACTTTGTATTTTGTACTCCGCGTGCACATCGTCGTGAACAGCACCTCGTGAAGGTTTGCAAATACCGAGGCACGGGTTGAGTGCCGATATGTGCATTGCGTGGTGCTGCAACTGACAACAGGCACCGGCGATTAGTTGAATATTAATGTTTCAGTACTGCTGTCTGAACGTGGAATTCGATGCTCCTCATGGTATTTGCACGGACGCAAAACATACGGCGTCGCCTTCGAAGCCTGTATTGTATCCCGAAAACTACAGCAGTACACACACCCGTTTGAGAGGGCCGCCGACATCTCTCAAAGAATACTTACCCTGCCCTGCCCTCACCTTGCCGCAACCTCTCGGCAGGTTCGGGAACACTATTTCGTTCTCCCACAAGAAGAACCGAAGGACGTGGAAGCCCAACGTGCAGAAGAAGGCCCTTTACAGCGAAACCCTCGATGAGTAAGTGGTATCTTAAAATATGTACCGCCAATACCTTGGTCATTGAGAACCAGCCTCGGAGCCGCTGATGTGTCCTCCTGTATGGGGTACACGAAGCGCTACTCTGATGCTAGAGCCGCAAGGAAAGTTACCGCGGTTGTTCGCTGTTACGCCCGTGGCGGCGAGATTTTGAGATCGTTGCTTTCGTGAACAAGTACCCAGGCTGGTGGCCACGGACTACAATGGTGACTCTGTTCATGCGAACGAATAAACGAGCGGGGCAGTAGCACGACCGGCTTGTGCGTGTGGCGTACCCTCCCCTTGAGAGCTTCCGGTACCTTGTGCTAGCATGTCTACTGCAGCATCATTTACTCAACAATCGTCCTCTTTCGTCATTCGTCCTTCCGGCCTCAAGAAGAACACGTGATTATCCCGGGTGGTGCCATTGCTTCCGAGTGTCGGCCAAGTGTGTATTATCGCATGCACAGCGCGTCCCCTTTTTTTACCGCCATGCCCTCCCCGCGCCGCTGCCGCTTCGAACGTACGGTGCTCCAACGATCCGTTCGTGCGCACGGCTCTCGTGTCATAAAACATGGGTGATCGCTGCCGTAGGTGGATCAAGTTCAGCTTGACCACACACGCTCTGCGGTGCGTCGACCGGGCGGGTGGCATCGACAGGTGAGTCCGTCCGTGCTCTCAACAAACACACCGGCATTGTCGATCATACTCCGTAGTGCGTGGAACAAATGGCAGAAGAAGGTTGCGGATTCTTACGGCTGACTGTCGAGCGCTGTGTTCACGGTGCACTTTCTCTCTCTCTCTGGCCAGTCGACGCGTGAAGGTGGAGGTACAACGGTAGGTATGCTCTTGAGCCGTGCCTGTCGACATTTCGCAAGCCGCAAGGGCTGCATTGACAAGGTCGCGGAGTAGTGCTTTGCCCCGAAATACCAGAAATACGTGCTGACATCAATGCATCGAAGACCTCTCCTGCACCCTTGATAAACAGCCCCAATAATGTTATCACGTATCGCGCCGAACGCTTGTCGTGCTTGGGGCAACAGCAGGTACCAATCCCACCTTGTTTTCCGAGTCTTCGTGCCTAAAAGGGTTGTCGTGCTTAAAAGGGTTGAGAGAGGTTCGCTCGAAACACGGCCCACATTGGCGTCACAACAGCAAACGAAGCATTCCATCAGTCTCCAATTGGCGTTCGCGATGTTCTCTCTCGCCCCTCGACTACACGTTGCGCGCGTACACCTGTCCAGGTACCTGCTGAAGACACCAGACGAGTGGCTTAACTCGGTGCAGGGCTCGAAGGCGAAGCGAAAGATCGAGGAGGCTCTGGCGGCGAGAGGTGACTCTTCGGGCGAGCTGCACGCAGGGGAGGGAGAAGGAGGGGCAGACGCGGGGTTGCGAACGGAAGGGGGGCGACAATCGAGCTAACAGGCTCTCAGTGCTCCGTCTCCATGGAGAAGCAACCTGGAAAGGGGCTCTACGTACACGAAGAGCTGTTCCAACGGAACGCATAAGGAAGAAAAGGAGAGGAGAGCGTCAACGAGGTCAAAATCGCTAGAGGCGGAATAAGCGGGAAAGAGAAGTCGCCCGGTAGCTGTTGGCCAAGCCACCCAGGAGCGAGCCGGAGCTGTGTCGAGCGCGTTTCGCAGCACCGTGTACACGGTCGTCTCGCCTCTTGAGCTTTGCCCTCTAGGTGGCTCAGGCCGCTTGATTCTTGCTGCTGCTGCTGGCTCTGGTGTCCGGCAAGGTACTGCTGTAGATTGCTTGAGAAGCGAAAGCGCGCGGATGTTTCCCCTCGCGCTTGCAAATTCTCAACGGTTATCTTCCAGCAAGATATCAACACGAGCAAATCTGGGGCAACCTGCTGTGTGCCCGGCGGAGCCTCCACAGTAGCTTGGGGAAGCCCGTCGCCGTTGGCAAACTGTACTGCCGCGTTGCGGCCGATCATGCTCGGGATGCATAATCGAAACGACCAAGAGTGTACGGATCTGGTATGCCTTTGATACGTTGCTCAGCGTAAGTTTGCGAGGCGGTAATGGTATAGGTCTTCGGGAGATCGGCATGAGCATCCCCGCTCAACGCCCGGGAATGAAAGAGTGTTTTTTTGTGTGTTTCGCAAGTATTGACTGACCTCAACAGGTAGTTTGTTGGGTTGCTGGCAATAGTATGGTGTCGGCCATACACTTTATGATGATTGTTTCCTCTCGGCCGGACGGCAAAGAGAAGACACCTCGTGGAAGGTGGGGGTGTCATGTTCACTACAAACGAGAGAGAACCGAATGCATGAGTTCGTTGTCCGTTGACTCCATCCGACCCCTCGCAAGATTGGCATGACGACTCAACGGCATGCGAGAAAGGCTGACAATATCGTGCTACTGTACTGTGGTCCCCGGTTGATTCGCCTCGACAGACGACCTTGTAAAACGCCTCTTTTGAAAAAAAAACAAGAAAGACGCCAGTCTCCCCGATACACCCGACCCCACCTGGCCGGTAGTCTTACGTACACAGGAGTACACGCTTCGCGAACCCAATGCAGCCTGCTTGCTGCATAGCAAACCTTGCAACTGACGCCTGTGGCTATCATACATACTCTTGAAAGTCATAATAACGTGCCCATCCTCACCGAAACTGGTACATTAGCAGTACGCCTCCGCAACAACACAAACGAATTTCATTCACACGTTCCCGCCGAAGCACACCACGATGCTGAACCACACCTACCCAGAGCAAAAAAGATGTGTTGTAGACTAGTGCTCCGAGACACACGGAGAAATGAAGGGAATAACAAAAAACAACACTACATTGTATCCTCCAGTAGTGTTGGCGTACCCAACAAGAGAAAAACCTCTTGTGACTGCACAGTGTCAGTGCTCCCCTCTACTGTAGATGATGAATAGGGCACCGCATAAAAAACACCACCAAAAGTGCGAGAGTACGCCATCTCCCACGGTCGCGAAATCGCTTGCCATCCCGCGGCCATGCCAACGACACGTCACGCGCCAATCAAAGCTCGCAAAGAAAAACAGACAACCAGCCGGTTTGACTCGCCGCGAGGAAGCACACACCAATCGTCTCATCAGAAAGCCTCAGAAAATCAATCGCGGGCAAACGCACCGTGACCCCCCCCCCCCTCCCCCCTCGCCCATATCGGGCAGTTTTTTTTTACGGTGTGTCACAAAGCAACATCCAAGAGCAACAAGCTACGAACCAAGAGTTGTGGACACATCACAGGAGGATAGGACTGAAAGACTGAAAAAAACAAAGGCGCAAGAAACACTATCATCATCTACACTTATCTACAACCCACGGTGTCCTCGTGCCAGCGATTGTTGTGGCGCACTTAAGACAAATCGAAGTATTCTGAAAGAGAAAGTAAATTAGAAGATGGAGGAGAAAACGTAGACGAAGTTGGAGCTATTGTAACAGACAAGGTATTATCTCCGTATTAATCAGGCTACAGGTCCGTCTCACTTGTACAGACATAATGACCAATGTCTGTGGAGTCGATATCCTTGGATCAGCCAAGCAGTGCCACGGCTCTATTATAGGAGGCAAGTTCCCGATACCCAACAGCAGTCACAAAGCATCCTCACAAACTAGATATCAGAATTCCAGGTCCAGCACTCACAGTCACGGTGATTTGTAAGGGATTCGCACGTGGTGGGCAAAGGCCAAGGGCATGGCTCAATCAATCTTATCTTTCGCTTCAAGGGCGGTGTTGAGTAAACACCTGTTGTGTGATGGTTCGGGGCAACCGCCGTGGAAGAGGCGGTTGCCCCCAAGGGGTCAGGGGACACGTATCCCAAACCCCTCCAGCAGGCTGAAGCGGGGAGGCGTAATGGTCTGCCAGAACCCCCGATTACATGAGCATGCGCCCTCCGGAAAACCCGCCAGCATAGCGAGATGTCTATCATTGTTTTTAGGAACCGGTGGGAAATGCCGGCCGAATGCAGTATGTAGCCCCGAAAAGAAATGACTGATGTATCTTCACTCGGCGTACCACCCCCACATGAACACACCTTCGAGTCGGACCTCGAGCCCGTTCTCGACGACGTGGAGGGAGTACATGGTGCTGACGGGGGCACCGTCGCCGTTGCCTCTGCTGTCGTCGTCGTCGTCGTTTCTGGCCTTGTTGTCGGTCTTGCCGTTGCCCTTGTCTCGGCGGCCGAGACGCCCGAAGATCTCCTTGATCTTCTTGACCGGCTTCGACTTGGCAACCTTCCTCTGCAGCCAGCTCTCCTTCTTCTTGCTCCGCATGGGGTTTCTTTTCTGCACGACGACGAGGTCACCGACGGTCACCAGCTGGGCAAGTAGGCAGCGATGCAATGGAGCAAAAAGGATAGCTGTAAGCACGATGATCAAAGAGCATGTCACGTAGCTCAGACTATAACAGGTACACATTACACGGATGTAACAGAAAGAGGGCGTTGTTTTCTGGTAACCAGGAGGACTTGGTCAAAAGGCAAAATAAAAAACACACACGGACGATGAATAGCAGTGTGGGTCATGTTTACTGTAGTTCATGTCCTGCCGAACACTTGGGCCTGCAGTACGCTTGGAAGATACGGTAGGTAACAGAGGAAAGGGCGAGATATTGCCAAGTATAAATCAAGACGACAAACACCGGGCCTTCGTCTCGGAATAGAACCAATGCAGGCAGTAAGAAAGGTGATGGGGTTGGTAGAACGTCCTCCGACGAATCACGATACACACACAGAATGACATTTATCTTACGCACGCTAAATCAACCGCAGTAATCTACGCACGCAGATAGTGTTAGTGTTTCATGTTCAAATCGGTGCCACGTGCTTTCTGGCCGTGAAGCCCGACGTACACCTCAGTAGAGTTCGAGGCCAAACAGAACACTTCCGGCGGTCCACTGACGATAGAGCAATGGGATCACCCTCCATCGCACCTTCCCACCAAACGCTGTTGCATTGTCTTCCTGCTCAGTACACCCAACTTACCACTTCCCCGGTGTTGGTGACCTTCAGAGCCACGTCGTCTCCCCAATACCTCCGCGCCTCGTCCCCCAATATCTCGTCACAGTGGCGGGGACGGCCTTGGTCTTGGCCTTGGTCTTACCGCGACCGCTGGTGCTGGTGCTGGTGCTGGTGCTGGAGGCGTCTTGACCAGCGTGTTCCTGCTTCGGGTCGCTGGAGTGGCCTGCTGTTCAAGATCGAGTTTCGTCGGGAAAAGAGGCAAACACTAAACAAAGCCCGCCGAAACACGCCATCGAGCGATAATGTGTGAAAGGTCTCTATCGTCGAGAGGAGCGTCGACCTCTGTGTGCCAGCGAATCTGAGAAGTCGGGCCCTCCGTGCAGCTCACGATGGCAGCAACGCTTGGCAGCTGGAGAACGGCCACATGAACAGGGTAGGTGTTGTTCTAGTGGAGAGGTTGGCGGCAACGCGCACGTCAATGCACGACGAGCTCTTGGCGACAGCACCCACCCACTCCCATACTCTAATCTATTTAGAAAACCTCCCTCCCCGGAAACGGCGACTTTCGAGAGATGGATGCACTTGACGTGCCTGTACATGTACCAATTGACAACTCAGGTGCCTGGGATAAATCAAACACTTTTCTCCCTTCGGGGGGGGGGAGACGCGTTCCTTGGAGGTATCTGTACCTGCGGTCGTCGGGTCTGCCTGCTGCTGCGGCATCGTTGTCTTCTCCGCCTCCTTCTCCTCCTCTTCCTCTTTCTCCATCTGAAGGTCCCTCTCCCTCTTCTTCGCGCGAAGCAGCTCGTCGAAGCCCCTCGCACATTTCTCCAGGTCGACTTCCATGTCCGTGGCCGTCTCTTTCTGCCACACCCTTAGCCTCTCCGAGCGCGCCATCATGTGGAGAACCTTGTCGTCGGTGGCCTGGCCCGAGTCGGCAAGGGCCAGGATCTTCAACTCCAAGCCCGGGTCCCCCCCGTCGTAGTCGGGGCTAAGTCCGGCCAGCGTAGCCATGGTTGTTTCTTCGACTGAGGCCCTGGTCTCGACGGCCTCTATCATCTCGTCGAATAAAACCACGTACCGGTCTGCCTTCGCCAGCACCAGGCTGCCATCGGTTCCCATGGTCATGGTGTGGGACCGGTCGAGGGTGGTGAGCGAAGAGGGGAATCGTAGCTCCTCGCCCACCTGAACAAATTTTCAACCATGGAACAGAGAGAGACAGAGAGGCGGACAGTCCGAGTATCAGGACGAGACAAGAGAATGGACGGCGGCATGCAGGGACCGTTTCTTTCAATGAACGACTGATAACGTGCAACCACATAACAGCGTCAACGGTGAACCGATTCACAACGACACAATCCTCGAGATAGCAGGAATATTGTTCCTGCCCATGTTTCTGCTGTTACACAAAACGGTCGCGCTATCGGAGGTCCCACGGGATGGACAAGACTAAAAACAGGTACAATCGGCGGCGTGGTGAGAGGTGGTCAGGAGACGAACACAAAAACACAAGCAAAAAAAAACAAAACAGAGGACAACATAAAGTGACAAGTGCTGGGAAGAACATGAAGAGAAGCTTCAGACAGGGACAACGGCCAACCCTTGCTCATGTTCCTACGACCGCAGCTGTACGATTCGATAGGGATGCAAGGATGGAGTTCCTCATTTTCTGCAGTTTTGTTGGGGGGGTTCCGCTGAGAGCCCAAGCCAACACAAGCATTTGCTGCTCTGCGCTCGTCAGGCTCAGGAACTCCTACAGCCAGCGGCCGTTCTCAAAAACTCTCAACCCATCAGACATTCATTCCTTGTCCTCACCATGAGGTGGGTCGGCTTCAAGCCCAACCGCTGCTCGTAGGTGTACTCGGCGGATCTGTCCGGCGAGAAGGGGGACTGGTTTGGTCCACACGTCAGAGAAGCGGCTGCTGTGCAAGCGCTCTGGTCGCCATCGTGCTTCATCTGCTGCTGCTGCTGCTGCTGCTGCTTCACCTGCTGCTGGTGACGCTGGAAGTGTCGTTCAATCCACCGCCGGCGGAGGCGTTGCAGCCTTATCCAGGCCGGATCCTCGATGACCGACACCGCGACCATCGTGATGGAGGAGGATGTGTACCGGACCAGGGCGTCGAAATAAAATTCGCCACCCTCTTTTGCGTGCAGCAGCGAGTGCTCGTCCTTCTGTGGCGGTTCGGGTCGTGGTAGAGACGGAGACAGCGCGGGGACGAGAAACAGTCAGAGGGGAGAGGGAGAGAGGGAGAAAAAGGCTCTAATATAGTATTTGGTCCAAGGGTGTTATTGGTTGGGCCACGCCATCGACGGAAAAACCGTCGGGTGTCGTTGCTGTTGTTGGTAGGCCTGGGAAAGAGCTGACGTGTCGTGCCAAGAACAGTGCATTTATCACTCACGGGCCTCTCGACATCTTCGAAAAGGTGTTCAAGCTTGGCGGCGGGTTGATGTGACTTACAGGTCCGTGTGGAATCAACGTGCGCGAGGCATATTTTTGATCTCCGTTAGGCTTCAACGGAGTGGTGGGATAAGATCTTCTTAACAATATCAATCATGCGACATCCTGTCAGGAATTGTGTCCAACAGCATGAACGGCGGGGGGGGTGCACGTTAGTGCGGCCTGCTGGCACTAAATATCAACCCCGCAGAGCAATGGGGTCGTGAAGTACAAAGGTGAAATTATCGACACTGCCGTAGTCACGACATGACGATTGGACAACATCAAAACAAGAACAACAAGGCCAGCAACATCATATCATATCAACACGACATCCCTCCCACCTTGGTGCCGTTCTCAGGCAACGGGCGCAACTGATCGAATTGCCCTCCCAGAAACCCTCCTGGCTCGATGGTGAAGATCTCGCCGGAGTCTCCCTGAGCGGTGAGGAAGGACACAACAGCAGCAACGTAGCAGCAGCAACAACAACAACAACAACAACAACGTCGGTTCATTGCAGTCACAACAACAGAAGGAAGTGGCATCACTCTGGTTGCCGCCGCCGCTGCCACCGCCGGTAATAGGAACAACGGTACCAACACCACCAGAAACATGAGGAAAATCGTCTACGAGCTCACTCCCATGACACACGATACACGATGGATGCTGCAACCTCCCTCCCGGACACCGGGTTGTTTTTTCGATCCTGTTTCTTGCCGCCAAAAGACTACCATGTCTCCACAACACAAGTTTGAAGCTGACCCCGTTCTTTCGGGATGGAGAATGCGGCCACCTCCCCCCCTTCCCCTCCTTCTGCTTTTCGACGTGTCGCTGTCGCACGCTTAGACTATGCAAACACACGAGCCCAACCTACACAAGGCGAGACGACACACGCAGACACACCAATACCGTACCTCAAGCTTCTCCACGAGCAGCGAGGCCACGGCAAAGCTCAGCGTGGCGTTCTGCTCCACGATAAAGTGGACGCGCTCGAAACGCACGCCGTCCATATCGGAGAAGATTAACGCGAGCTCGCTCACGACTAGCGTCTGAGGCATTGGTTGGTATCGATGAGTGGCAGCGGGAAAAGGACGGGGGGGAAAGAAAAACACGGCAAAAGAGACGATGAGTCGTTGCTAGCGCTGGTCCGATGCTTCTACAGCAGGTGTGGGTTGTGTTGTTGTTACTGGAGTTGTCATTCCGCTAAAGTGTACCAATCCCACCCTTTCGGCGTCTGGGTAACGATTGCCACCTTCCTCTTAAATCATCGCGGAGAAAACAAGAAATTTTAATGCAATGCAACATTGAGACGGTGTACTCAAAGGGGGGTGGGGAGTGGATTGATGAGCCAGCTATGTCTACGTTCATATAAAAAAACACGGTACTCACGTGAAGTCAAAATTCTCTGTGCCACCGTGCCCCGTGCGTGTAGGCACAACAAGGGACCACGGAAAGTAAGAAAGCGGGATTGGGGGGAGGGGTCGCAATATCCACGCATCTTCGAACCATGCATGATAACGGAGGACAACACCGGAGCACTCTCTCACCCGCTTCTCCGCGCAGACGATGTCGCCCTCGATGATGAGGATGCCCCGCACGGGGATGAGGCCAAAGGGGATTCGGTCGCACGAGTTGATGGTCGTCATGGGGGTATCACCCGAGTCCTTGTAGAAAAGACGGTCTCTCATGGTCTTTATCTTCTTCGTGGTGTGCGTGTTCGTGTTGCCACGGTACGAGTCGGCATCACTGCTGGCGGTGGCCGGGTGGTTGCTGTTGTTGTTCTCGCTGTCCACGTTCTGAGGTTGCTGAGGGAGAACATCGCCTTCTTCCTGCTGCTGGTCCTGCTGCTGTCGCTCCTTGTGCTGCTGCTGCTGCTGTTCCTGCTGCCGCTGATGCTGGTGGTCCTGCTGCTGTTGCTGCTGTTCCTTCTGCTGCCCCTCTTCCTCCTGCTGCTGCTGCTGTTCCTGCTGCTGTCGCTCCTTGTGCTGCTGCTGCTGCTGCTGCTGCTGCTGCTGCTGGTGCTGCTGCTGCTGGGTCTCGGACGCCTTGATGATGGTCATGATCGAGGTCGCGCAGCTCATACGACCTTCGATGACTAAAGCCCCTCCGGACTTCACGACTAGTCTGGAGAATAAGTCCTCCTGTACAGAGAGACATGGAGAGACATGGAGAGACAACGAACGACGTAATATTTGGAGAGTGAGAACGAGGCAAAGAGGAGTTACGAGTTGGTAACGGTCACCCAATGTCTCCGCGCGCAAAAAACAGCTATCGCACCGCGCTTCGTGTCTATTTACTATGTCAAAAACATGATAAAATCACATGCCAAAGAACTCTCTCGGTGCACGGGATATTACCGCATACTGGTAACAGGCAATGTATATGACGAATTGAACAGGCTCGTATGCATCATTGAGGGATCGCGGGAGAGCGGTAGTGCTTGCCGATGGAGTCGCTGCGACCACGATCGACCCGTTCACAAGCATTGATTCTCGAAAGAAGCCAGCAGTATTGACGCATACTGGGCTTGCGTGTGAAGTGTTGGGGTGTCTCTCTCCAAAGGGTTGCCGAGAGTTTTCTGAGGTATGTAGTCCAGAAGACGCCCATTCTTGAATTCTGTCACCCTTCTAAGAACCTCGTTTTTTTCACGCACCATATTGTCTTTGATTGATTGGTCAGCCGGCTGGCGCGGTACATGCTGACTAAAGTAAAGTCGCACACACCCTTACCTACACGATGATAGCACCAACACAACAACGCTGACAAGAACAACAACACTGTTCCTCACCGACGTTCCTTTCTCGGACACCGGACCGACTTCGTTGGCGAACAACCCCAGGTGCCCTTGCGGCTCGACCGTAAAGAATTCCTCAGAGTCTCCCTGCTCGAGGAAGAACAAAGGAACAGAATGGAACATCAACAGCAGCAGCAGCAGCAGCAGCAGCAGCGAAAACAAAGACATCATCGACCGAAATGCTGACGTCAATTGCCAACATCAGGCAGATCAACACCACCACCGTCGCCGACTAGAACACCCCAAACGAACCTGACCTAAACATCGCCATGACGGGCCACGTAGCGGCAATCAATCCCATCCAACATCCCACCCGGCCATTTTTCGTCCAACGAGAAAAGCACGCTGTCAAATCACCACGGCTGTGTTCCCCCTGTTGTCTGGGCATGTCGCGCCATACATTTCCAGGCACTACTACTAAAACTACTGACTGCGGAGCCCCCCTACTTACACGCGTGGTATCGTTCGGCGTCGCAAAGCTTCGCAGAACCCAGACACAAAACACAAATACCATCAACACACGTCAAAATCCATTGTACTCGCCTCAAGCGCTTCCACGGTCATGGTGCCCATGGAGATCCACAGGCCGGCATTCTCCCGTACCAGGAAGTGGACTCCCATCAGGTAAAGGTCCGGGGAGCGGGTGAATATCACCGTCTCCTGGCTGATCTCGATCACCTTGCGTTTCGGTGGGGATGTCGGGGGGTGCGGTGGTGGGAAAGAGAGCAGCAGGGAAGGGTGTGTGGTCGGCCGTCTAATGTTTTTTTTTCTTCGGTCACCCTCGCCCCTTTGTTGAATTCTGGCCACCTTACCTCTGGTGCATCATACAACAGCAGCAGTACCACCACCACCTCCTGCACGTTAACGTACTGCAGCAGTACAGCAGTACGACGGCTGGCTACTAAAAACCGGCACCACCAGTGTGTGACCAACGGAAGGAATTATCAAAAGACTCACAAAAACGGAGGGGGAGGAACAGCTCGCAGCGCACACGGCAGGAACCAGACACCGTATAGGCATAACTCCTGCTGGTGTTGACGTTGACGTAGGCATCATCGGGGGCAGCGTGGTGCTTGTATTGTTTGTCGGCGGCAGAAATAAGAGGGTGGTTCCGTGGTGGATCTGGAAGTGCCTCACTTGCTGTCCGCCGGCGGTAGAACTCGGGGGCTCCGTGTGGAAGCCTTCTACAATGAGAAAGACACGTCAAACAAACAAACAAAATAACAAAATAACAAAATAACAAAATAACCCCCCTCTCACCCGCTTTTCGTCGCAGACGATGGGACCGGTCACATACACGGCGCCGTCCAGACGGTTGCGGTCCAGGGGGAGCTCGTCGCACGACCCTAGAGATCTGATCGGCAGCCTGTTGATGTACGAGGCGTCGGGGTACACCTTCGTCCTGGGGATGAAGGGGGTGTACGCCTCCTTCTCGCTGGCCTTCACGTCGGCCGTATCGGCGGCAGCGTGGTGATCGTTGATGTCAGTAGTGGAAGGGGAGGGCTCCGTGGTCGATCGTGAAACGCCCGGGTTGTTGTTGGTGGTGGTGGTGGTAATCTGCTGCTGTTGCTGCTGCTGCTGTTGCTGCTCGTTGATATCAGCAGTGGAATGGGGGGGTTCCGCGGTAGATCGTGGCATGACCGGGTCGTTGTTGTTGTTGCCCTGCTGCTGCTGTTGCTGCTGCTGCTGCTGCTGGGGCTCCGTGGTCGATCGTGAAACACCCGGGTTGTTGTCGTTGTTGATGTTGTTGTTGTTGGTCTGCTGCTGTTGCTGCTGCTGCGGCTCCTCCTCCTGCTGGTTCTGCATGAAGAACGTGATGGTCGAGGTCGTGTAGCGGGCGTGGCCTTCTTCCAGCTCGAAGCTTGCCCCCTTCTTTACGGCCACGAGAGAAAACAAGTCCTCCTTCGCGCGGTGATTGGCATCGAGAGCGGGCGTGGGGGGAAGAAATACAGAAAGGAGAGAACGGGGGGGAGAGAAGGGTGGGGGGGGTGAGATGGTTGTGGGTCGTCTGGTCTGCAAGCTCAGTGAAACCCTTCTTGTATGTGATGGGCAAACTCAGAACATCCAGTGACGCCCCTGCCAACAGGGGCTGAATACGGTCGGAGGGGTTATGAACTCGCTCATGAACCCACATCACAAGGGCGATGGCGATCACTGCAACGCGTGAAAAATTGCAATTGTTTGGCCGATGTCAGCTTGTGAGGACGACCAAAAACACCGAAACATGCGACCTGTCTGGAAAAAACCGGTGCCACAAGTGCCTGCAACAGAGCAACACCCACAAAACCGAAGCATCATCAACCGAAACAACAAGCAAGAAGCGTTGCTACCAACATAACGTCCTGTGCTTACCTCCGTTCCATTCTCGGGCGGTGGGACCCACTGGTCTGCATTCATTTCCACGGAACCTTGAGGTTCGATGGTGAAGAGCGGTCCGGATACCCCCTGCGCGGCGGAAAGAGCAGCAACACTTAAGCTTCGTCTGAGGAACGTTTCGTTTTTTCGCGGACAAGCAACCTCGCTATCGCCACCAGCAGCAGCAACAACAACAACAACCCCAGCAACAAGCACACCACCGAACACCAACACAACCACAGCCATGGAAAAAAAAAAAAACACCACGTGGTGAGGATGGAGTTCCCTTCGAATGTGACCTATACGGTGGTAGTGTTGTGTACTTTATGTCCTCTCGAAGGATCTCGTGTGTGGTTCTATGCTCTCGTCTGCCCCCCCTGCCCCTCTCTGTCGTTGCTTTCTTTCCTACCTGCCTCATACTTGTCCCTCTTCTGTCTGCTCGGTATGAAGAGAGGGAAAGGGGAGAAAACCGGGTGGGCCTACTGCTCTGCCACTATGAGTCCAAACGATTGGAATCAACCGACACGGCAAGGAACAATCCCACGAAGTCGAAACTTGTTTTTCACCAGTACGCGAGAGAGGGGTGCCCCGCCCCCCTGAGTGAGACGTTCAGACGTGTGTTGTTGTACCCAAACATACATAACATCTTTCACCACATGCACATAAAAAAAAAAAAATGCCGTATCCCTATAATAAGTATACACGATAATAATATACACCCACATGCCAAGGAAACCCCGGTATTCCCACAAGCAAAATCACCTCCAGATTCCTCAAGCACGTGCGCACCTCGAGTTTTTCCATCGTCAACGTGGGCACCATGAATGTCAAGGCGGCCTTCTTCCGTACACGGAAGTGCACGCCCTTGAGGCGCAGGTTGGGCTTGTCGGATACGACGAGCAGTTTGTCGGTGACTTCCAGCACCTGCGGTACTCAGGCAGAGCACAAACGCGACCAAACAAGGGACAGGGAACACAGATTGGACAAAGGACAAGCGCCATTCATGTTTTCAAAAACGGTTGAATACTCGTGTAAATACTGGGTGTGCACTCCGGAACGGTGGAATATCTACCCTTTTGTACAACCCCCAAAGGCGTGGATGAAAGAGAGAGAGAGAGAGAGAGAGAGAGAGAGAGAGAGAGAGAGAGAGAGAGAGAGAGAGAGAGAGACAGACAGACAGACAGACAGAAAGACAGAGAGAGACAGGTAGGAAGCGCCACAGAGGCTGCGACAGAGAGGCCGCCACAGAGACAAGACCGAAACGGAGAGAGACGACAAGAAAGAAACGTCACCAACCCACCCAAGTCTCGTCAGGCATGCCACGACACAAGCGACGAAAATACATGCTAGCTCACCCTTGTCTCGGTGCACAGGATGTCGAAGTCCAGGAGAAGCGCGCCAGACATGCCTTGGACGTGCGTGCGTTCGGACCGGAGCTCGTCGCACGAGTGGAGAGTGGAAATCGGGAGGCCATCGACGACGGGGAGGGTTGGGCGTGCGCTGTCCGTGTCGGTGTCGGAGCTGTCGGTAATGCCGGTACCGGTGTTGGAGGTGTCGGTGATGCCGATATCGGTGTTGGAGTTCGAGACCGGGAGGTCATCGACGATGGGGGGGGTCGGGCGTGCGCTGTCCGTGCCGGTGTTGGAGGTGTCGGTGATGCCCGTGTTGGAGGTGTCGGTAATGCCGATATCGGTGTTGGTCGTGTCGGTAATGTCGGTACCGGTGATCCCGGTACCGGTGTTGGAGGTGCCGGTACCGGTGTTGGAGTTCGCACGGTCGGTGCCCGCTTTGTCGTTGGTCCTGCTCTTGTTCTTGGTCTTGCTGTTGCTGACAGCGATCACGGTATCCTCGGTGTACCAGATAGCCGAGTCGAGGAGAGCCGACACGGAGGCTCCGGGGTTCGTGCCGATCAGTCCGTGGAGATCCTCCTGTTTTTCGGCGGGGTTGCATAGGTTAAGAGAATGGTCACGAGGCTTGAGAAGTAGCAGCAGTAGCAACAGCGCCGCCCACTCCCGCGCCGACTCCGACTCCAACTCCGACACCCAAGCCCTTCTCAGCTACTATCCGGGAAACGCACCGGCCGCCGATGACGACCCCAGTTCCACGTCGAGACACAAAACCCCATGATACGACAACCCGTTGTCTCGGCTTGTCGTAGGGGTTTGTGTTTCGACGTGGCACTGGCGTCGGCAGCGGCGGACCTTATGCGTTTCCCCGATCGTATTGGTGGGAACGGCGGACGGCGTTGGAATCGGAGTTGTTTGGGGCAGACAGGAAACGAGAGCGCGCGTGGGAGGGGTGGAAGAGGTATTATAGTGCAGGGCGCTGGTCTGTCCCACCCGTAAAATACTGCAACCATTTTGTCGAGAGGCTAACACAAACTTGGTGAATCGAGTAGGAATAAAAGCGAGTGCGATGGTCCCACCCTAAAGGGTCTACATACCCGCACTGGAAGCTAATAAAAAAATACGTGCGTGATGGTAGAAACCATAGACTTGCCATTCACGAAGCATTCATTTCGACAGATAAGACATATTATGTCGAAATCGAGTCGCCCTCTGCGTGGCACAGGAGCCAACATCCGGGGCAACTATCGTTGCCGCAACGGAAGGGGGGGGGGGAGACTGTGCGCATGCGCGGACTTCACCACAAAGCAGCAGGGAGAAGGGGGGGGCATCCAGCAGAACCGGCAACATTCAATCTTACTGACACCGCGGCATGCAGGGGCGGAAGATACCGGGTGAGTTGCAAAACAAAGAAAAAATGTAATCGTGGGGGAACCGAACAAATTTTTTCATCGCCAGTTTTTAGAAATGGGTAGAGCGACCTGGGGATTATGCTGTGGGGAAAGCACCCCCAACAAAGGCCGCGGAGGTTTCGCTGAGCCCCATGTTCCTTCTCGACGCTGTGCCTACCATAATAGAGAATGCGGACACCATCCCATCCCACAGGCCCACGACGACGACAGAATAAGAACAAAACTACTGTAGACACACCGACCATCACCAACACCGCCAACAACCCTCACAACAACAACAACTACAGCAGCAGCAGCAGCAGCAGCAGCAGCAGCAGTAGCAGCAACAACAGACAAAAGCAACCCACCGGCGTGGCACTCTGGGGGGCTTCGTAGATGGCGTCATCCGCCTCGAAACCCAGAAACCCGTCCACCTGAAAGATGGCATCAGTGTTGTCCTGACAAAGCAACGCCACCGATACACAGACGACGAATGAATGAGCCGACGCAGAAGGAGGGGGAGGGGGGGGGGGGCAGGAGACAAGGACTACCACGATTCCATGGCTTATCACAGGTGTAGGAGCGTTGCGCGGGGTGCGGTATTTCTTTCAAGTGTCGGTTGCACGACCAACGCCAGTTATGTCGGCGAAAACATTCACTCGTAATGGGTAAGCTGCACACGGTTTTTCCCACAACAGTAGAAATAGTTACGATCATCTTTGGAAAAGATGAATATTTGTATGTATTGCCAAGCCACAACGTAAGTAGAGAAGGAAAGAAAAAAAAACTCAGTTTCGATAAGTGAAGTGGGGTGCGGTCGTGGGGGGTACAGCAGTACCAGGCCTGTGGTTCGTCGACAATTTGTGGCTGCATTCTGTCCATCGTTCATCTATGCATGCCTGGTTGCAGAAGAATGAGAACGCCGGGCCGCCGAAGCTGAGCTTGGCTCCCTGCCGGGCCTCAAACCTCAATTTCTTGGTGCCATGGCCAACTCCGCCACAGTGATGACCTCATCGCAACCCTCAGCGACCTCGATGATCATGAAATATTATCACCGAGGGTTGCGATGAGGTACAGTAGATAACCATCGTCGCGGAGATAGACATCGCACCAAAGGGCGTGACGTTCGAGGTCCGGCCGGGAGATAGATAGGTAGGCTCGGCTTTGGCGGGCCGGATTTTTCAGGGTCTTCATATAGGTACATGCATATAAGATTTGGTCACTTTTCATGCTTCGGCGTTGCTTTCTCTCGCGGCAGCGAGTCTTTCTCGCGGTTGCTTCTCAGGGGCACGCAGGGGGTTCGTCGGTACATTAACGCCCGTGCCCGGAGCTCGGTAGGCCTCCGTGACGCGTGTGGCTGACGGCCAAAGTTGCGAAAACTGGCTCAAAACCCCAGGGACGCGTTCCGCGCTGACAAAGCCTGGCGAACCAATATTGAAACCCATCAAACCCATCAAATACGACGGTTTGAAATATTTGCCTGTTGCTTCTCCACTTTCATTCGTTCATTCATTCATTCGATGATTCATGGCTGTGACTCTTCGTGTCATCGCATTGTCCAACAGCAGTACCTAGGTTCACTACACTTCGCAGCGGGCCAAGTGCAGACAAGTCCGAGAGCATGCATCCAGCCGCAGTGTTGAACATGTCCCATTTGTGGTGTTGTTTCGGCTTCAAATTCGGTTCTCATCGGAAATCTGCCATCATCAATCAATCAAAGACATCATGGAAGTCTGAGTTTTCGCTGCCAAAATATTGTCCGCTCGAGCTGGCTCCAATGTAGCATATAACAACGTGCGCGATGTTTTGTGCGGAAATACAAGCGTTGTAAGACACACAGTCCCTCTTTGGGCAACGCGCATGTTGGTCTTGCGTCACCTGAGGGAGGGTAGACACCCACGTCCCGAAGGGAGACCTTGTATATATATATATATGCATATTTTTTTCTCCTATTATTGGACTCTGTCGTCTGCCCCTCTGGCCCCCATCCTCCACTTCTACTAGCTAGACGACCCAACCGGCGTCACATAGGAGGGGCCTTCTGCGGTTCCTGCCTGGATATTTTTATCGCGAGAAGGGTACGGCAATCCCTTCCCTCGCGACTCATGAAGTCGATTTAGTTTACATATCTAGAAGTGTGAAATATATATGCACATGATCAAAGAAAGACTACCCGTTCGAGTTATGCCTATGTATAAGCACAGATAGTCGAAGGGGATGGGTTGAAGTCTTTACAGCAATGAATGGGGGGGGAAACCTGCTCGATAGTGGGCTTTGTTTTCTTCTTCAGCCTCCTGTACAGTAGCAATGCTACAGCAGTCAACGTGGTGCATGATGGGAATGACAAGCAAGTACGGCGGCGGCGGGATCGATTGACCCACCGACCGAATCCAACCCACCGCCACACCCTCTTGCTCAGCGCAAACCCAACCCAACCATCTGCCAAACAAGGACAGACGATTGAGGTCATCCAGGGCTGCTAGGCAGTATCACGCCGTCCAGACTTCAACCTTGCCAAGTCGGCCATGCTGCCGCGTTTCAACACTCTACAGCAGCACAGTACTTTGGCACCATTACCTGGGGCTCGAGTGCGAAGAATAGCAGTAGAACACACAAAACTAACACTATGTAACAGGTCTGTGGTTCGCCCACAATCATGGCCGCGTGTCGTTCATACATACCGTATATGACACGAGATAACACACCCCCTGGACCGATTTTCAAAGCTCGATTACTCCACGACGAAGAGGACGCATAAATGAAACAATACATTTTCGAAAACCTATCGACGAGACGGTTCCAACGCCGCCGTTTTCGGCGCTGTGACTCTTCCTGCTGTTGAGAAATCGAGCTTTGAAAATCGGCCCAGGGGGTGTGTTATCTTGTGTCATATACGGTATGCACAAAATACCTGCTTGCGCTCGAAGAAGAACGCCGGTCCGCCGAAGCTGAGCGTGGCTCCCTGCCGGACCTCGAAGCGCAAGCCCTTGGTGCGGATGGCGTCCTTGGCCACAATGATCACCTCATCGCAACCCTCGGTCAACTCGATCGTCTGTTGATTGGCAGCAAGCAATCATCGTGGTTCGTGTTTGTACTGCTGTTGCTATCCTTGAATGAGCTTTTGTTTATCTGGACTCCAAAAGCTGAGATGCATGGAACAGAGACATGGAGAGGATGCATGTGCCATGTGGGGGTGCAGCTGGAGCAAAGGCTATGTCACAGCCTTTGCAGCAGCTGGAGAGCCAGCCCGCGACGAGCCCCGTGGATCAACACATGACCGCTCTCACTGGGAACTGATTCCCATCTGTGACACCACGCAAATACCGGGTGGGTATCTTCTTCTGGAGTATCCTATCCGAGACTCCGCCCACCTTGCACACAGGGACGCCAACCACTCCTTCAGTCGCGCAAGGCGAGGGGGCGCAACGGGGTGCATGGAGTAAATTCTGGTTGTTTTTTGTCGGGCGCGAGGCTGAGCTGTACATGTCTAGACTACAGCAGCGCAGCAGTTTTTGTACAGCAGCAGCAGCCGTATATATGTACGTACCTGCAACCCATGGACTCTACCGCTAAGCTGCGTGTGTCGGTAGACTAGACTACCACATGCTGGAGGAATAGGCTAGCTGTACATGTAGGCTACAGCAGTAGCAGTCTTTCTTTCTTGTAGTCGGGGTGTTGCTGGTGGTGTCAACAGCAACCTACATGTATGTACCGTGGAGAAGGGAATGGATGAAATCCGACCCGAACATGTACTAAAAAATACGACGAAGAAGTTGGACGAGGAATGAAAAAACAAACGGACATAGTCCAGACTTCTACATGTTGTTCGTGTGGCTGGATAATCAAGCCCTGTTTTCCATGGCGTGGCAGCGCAATCGAAACATTGCATACGCCTCAACTGTGCTTGTTTTGTTGGGCTGCACACAAGACCCTTCCTTCTACTACTGCTGTCTACTGTAGCAGATGCGATGAATGTGTGAAGTGTCACATCAAGCCTCGAGAGACCGGGAAAAAGGATGTGTGTGGCGAGTGTGTGGCAAGATCCACGTTCTTTCTTCATCATCGTCGTGCTGGAAACTCATCACGCGTGGTGGACCCTGCCCTGTTATCTGCATCGCGGGTGCCTGCCTTTGATCCTCTGCCAAAGATCACCGAGCGTACTGTATGTACGAGTAGTGGAGTATGAGCCGATTCGGCACGCAGCAGAGAGAGAGAGAGAGGCCGAAGCCCCCCCCATAATAACCAATGGCAACGAACGCAGAAAAGGCGCAGCGGTGAGAGAGAGAGAGAAGAGGAGAAGCACACGCGCACAACAATCTTCGGGCAAAAGTTCGGAGAAGAACAAGTTCATCACACTAAATAATACCACTGCTGCTGCTTGCTGTTGCTGTGACTCGCACACACACCTTGGTCACGTTGCAGATAAGATCTTCCACAATGCAGACGTTGCCGTGCACGGGCGTCCTGTCGTTCACAAGATCCGAACAGCCATGGATGTAGGTAACTCCATCCACCTGCGCTAGCTCAGCGACGGCTGAGGCGGTAAGGAGCACCATCGTCATCAGGACTACCACGGCCAGGCGGAGAAGGTGGTTCTTCGCCAGCGAGAAGAAGAGGCCCGACGAGCGGTGGCTGCAGCGTGACTGAGAGTAGGTGTTCATGAAAGCAGTGGCCATCAAGGTGCGGTGTTGTTGTTGTTGTCGATAATATCCTTGTTTTGCTTCTATCTATCTTCTTGCTTCCCGTGTGGAGAGCGAAAGAGAGAGAGAGAGAGAGAGAGAGAGAGAGAAAGAGAGAGAGAGAGAGAGAGAGAGAGAGAGACGATAAAGAGTGAGCGTGTGTGCAGGGGTGGAGCACAAGCACCGGAGGAACAGGCAACGAGCTGGTGTATCGTGGAATCAATATTCATTCTTGCACAAAATAATTTGGTCCCTGAGCAAATTCGCGGTGGTTCCCATCACGCAAACAATTACCGTCCGGTGTCGTGCGCGCCTCGGAAATAAAGCAGGGATGAGAGAAAGACAGACGTAAAGAAAGGACGAAAGGGCGCTTGCTAGAAGAAGATACTTCGCCCGATGTCCCTTCCGTGCCGGTCATGTGTGTGTTGATTCATCCACAAATAATGAACCAGTGCGTGTGTATGTGATGACGTTTGTACTGTAGGTAGGTGAATGCGAGATCTACCGCCGTGTACTTGTTTTATTACCAGGAAAAGTTCATCCATATCATATGTGAAGACAACAACAACAACAACAACAACAGTATCATACCGTATGAAAGAAGTTATCGTTGAACTGGGAGCAGTACTCCTTTCGCACTCCATTCGCACGTACGTACGTGTGCTCTGATGCTCTGGCACGTCTCTCGAACAAAGCTGTGGTATCTTCGAAGCAGCCAACACGGACGGACACAGTCGGTGGCTCTAGTTTACCCGCCAATGATCATCTCGACGGGTCTTTTTTTCTGCACGTACGTGCAGTGATGTCTGGGACCAACTTTGGTTTGTGGTTCAAGTTTGGTTGTTAGTTACTTGTCCAAGATTATTTTCTCGGATATCAACGGACCTCCGAACCTCCGCTAGCCGTTGTTCGCGTTGTGCATACATATACATATGTATATGTCATCTGTAGAATGCGCCAGCCACCACTTCTTTGCAGTTAATTAAGAACTTGAGCCAAAACCTTCAAAACCAAAGAACGCACGAGAGAGAAAAGGCGCTCAGTGGAGAAGGCTACTGTACTCCTACACTAAAACCTATATAATCGCCGTGGGGGTGCAATACCCCGTACACAAACCAAGAAACGAGCCCAAGCCCATAATATGTGGGTGCCGCGTTCCGCATGTGCCGTGTGATCGTGTGATCAACGATCATTCGAAAAAAAATTATCGCCCTACGGCGATTTCCCACCATGTTGTTCTGTGAGTCTGGAAGAGTGATGGGGGCTTCCTGTGAAGCTGGGTATTTCTCGTGGTTTGCGCACATACACACATCTCAACAATATTCGCTTCTATTTCCTCAAAGGGTGTATCGGAAAAAAAGAGGGTGGGTAGAGAGAGGCCAAGGCATAAATTGATGATGTGAAGACACATAGATAGGAAACTCCCGCAGCAGCAGTACATCGAAACCGCAGACACACAGACCCGCACACACTTCCGTCAAGCCCCCGCAAGTCCCCCTCCCGACACAAGCAAGCCCTCCCTACGTACAGCCACCCGCAGGCGAGTCATTTCCAACGCCTACACTTCAGCCCGCACTCTATGGGCGGCGGCGGGTCCGTCTATCGTACAACCTACTACATATTACTGGCGCCTTTCTCGTTAGCGCACAAACCACAAAAAAAAAATACCCTAGTCTAGTCAACGTTCTTCTTCCGACCCCCCTCACCATCGCCTTCGAACTCTTGAGCAAACAAAAACATACGTACCACTTGGATGGAGGAGGGGGGTTCAACGCCGGGCCGAGTTACCGTCAAGATACACCGCCAAGGTGCACACCGTACCCTCCCCTCTCTAAGGTACCTACCACCGCCAAAATCAGACCCCGAAATACAGCCAATGAAACGTGAAGTGAAATGAATGGTCCCAGCCAGCAGGCCGTCTGTATAACGCCTTCCTCCTCCTCCTCCTTCTCTGCGCCGAAACAACACCAAAAAGTTGCCTTCGGCTCGATAACCCCACCGCCAACAAACTCCGCGCTTTTACTTGTCCTCTCGGGAGATGGTGCCACGTGAAAAACGAAAAAAAACGGGGGTCGGGGCATGCCACCGTCAAGACGTATACGCCAAACACACACCGACGAGGCCGTATGTACGGCCTGACGAAAACAAAAAACAAAAAACAAATGCCAACTCCAACGCTTCAACGTAGCACCCGACAGGTGACACCCAGGTCTGGTTCGACTCCGCCTTCCCGGCGACAAAAACGACGCGTATGTGCGTACGGAGTTCATTTCCTAGGATGGCTGCGATGCACTATTACCGGGGCAGCAGCATCCTCTACACCGCTCTTCATGAATGGTGAATCCAAAACAATAAATACAACGAGACACAGCAGACGATGCAGACAAAAAAAAAACGCAGGGCGTTACTGCAATGTTCGGCTGCAACTACCAAGTCTCAACAAAAGAATAAACCAAATAAAAAAGCTTAATGTGAAGCAAAGCGAAGCACAGCAGCAGCAGCAGCAGGAGCAGTAGCGCGCCGCACGTCCAAGATTAAGAAACTGTAATCTCCCATACATAACCACCGTAAGACCAGACAACGACCCCCACACCCTATCCCCCAACGGAGAAAGTGCAGAGGGCACGACTACGACGACTACATGGACAAGAGACAAGAAAAAAACAAACACAAAAAAACGGGAGAAAACGATATACCTCCAGCAGGAAGAGAGCTCGTGCCCAAACGGGATAGGCCCTGGGTGGGAACACGACAGACCCCTTCACAACCCGTTTAGGACGAAAAAACACGACAGAGAGTATCAACAGAAACAAACAACACTCCGCAACACCGCAAACAACGACAAAACGTACACGGGAGGGAGAGAGAGTACTTTTCGATTTAAAATACTAGTGAGTCTTGCAAAACTTCGAAGCGGCATCGATTGCGTTGCTGTTTTTTTTTTCGGTGGAAGAGTCGCGGTGGGGCCCGGAAATCTTTTCCGAAACCGGGCATGCGCGAGCAAAGCGACGAACGTACAAAAAAAAAAAAAAAAGAGGCGCAACAAGAAAGCAAGAAAACGATGTACAAAGAACAATAAGGGCTTTGACGACACGATATCATGAAAGTACACAAGAGAGGGTAGCGAGTCTCGACCGTGACAGTAAACAGTAGCTGAGCATCAACTTCTTCCTCCTGGAGCTCGTGTCTGTTGTGTTCACCCTGCCCTGGCAAGAAACGGAGTTCGTTTCCAGGCTGGTTTATGATGTCGAAACATTTCCTGGGCAGTGTTTGTTTTATTTTGTTTTTCATCACTGGTAGATGGCCATGGGAGTCACGACCGCCTCGATGTCGCGGATGTCCCCAAGGTGGAACTCGAAGCCCACCACGACAGATTTGGCCTTCCTGCTTCGCAACTTCTGGTTCACGCTCTCCTTAAACCTGTGTTGGTGTTCGCAGAAGCGTCGCAAACAAAATCACCCGCAGCCGTGCAGTCGTTAAAACATGCATCGCGAAAGCATCACTGGTACGCCTAGGACGCGCACACAAAAGCGTGTAGTCCGACGCGGTACGGTACGGAGAAAGCAAAAGGAGTTTCTGTGGTCATATGATGTCGCCGCCGTTGCATCGCGGCGTCGCGCGCACGCACGCCATTCGTTTTCGTATGAAACTTTCGTGCTCCATATACGTCAACCTTGCGGGCGGACAAACACCATCACGCAATACATACACACACCAGTCACCGCCACGTTCAAACACGCGGGGCACCAAGTGTGATTGATAGCTTCAGGGGGAGGGGGGGGGGTACTCACGATAGCTTCAGGGGGGATCGGGCAAAATGAAAACGGAGGCCGACAAAGGCCGACGAGGGTTCGGGGAGGGGGAGGGGGGTTCACCACACCTGACGCCGGTGACCTTCACCAGCTCCTTGACGATGGTGAGGAGGATTTCCGGCCGATCCGAGCAGACTGTCCACAGTCCCGCGCGCTCTGACTCGGTGAGAGCAACAGTGCCGAACCTGAAAAGCGGCGGGAGGCAAGACAGACCACACGCGCACGCGCACGCGAACGAGCACAGGATGGCTTTCGTGAGGCAGGGGATGCCAGAGAAGAGACAAGACGAGAACTTGTTGTTGTTGTTGTTGTTGTTGTTGTTGCTGCTGCTGTTGTTGTTGTTGTATTCATATCAAAAACCGTTCCGGTCTCCGCTCAGTACCTTTACCAGATCATCAACAGCAGAGGGCACGGTCTGCTAATTTTTACGTCATCATCATCATCATCATCATCATCATCAGTAGCAGCAGCAGCAGCAGCAGCAGCAGCTGTAGCAGCTGCAGCAGCAAAAAGAGCAAAAACCAACGACACCGGGCACGGCCTGCTTGCCTTTGACAGACGCCTGTGGTGACGTTCTCCCGCCAGAAGAGGTGGGAGCGCTCGTGGTGGCCTGTCACAAGGTTCAGGAACTGTGTCACCAACAAGTGCATGCCCTGGGGGAAGGGGCGTCGTTCCGAACATTGCGCGGCAGACGGGCGGGATGCAGCAGCAAGCGTTGTGGTAGAGGGGGCAACGGGTTAGTTTGGGGTTGTTAACGGTCTCCTCGTGTCATCGGAAAACGATCGCGACGCTCGCTGTTCTGCTGTTGTTGACGACGATATGCCCGCTGTTGTTGTTCATCTTGTGCACGTTTATCCTGTTGAAATCACGAGGCCAAGACACAATACCTCCATGTTCGTACCCGTCCAGCCATCAAGAGAATAACGCGCCAGAGACTGAAGCATACCATTTAATAGTCGGATGGTTCTTGAACGATTTGCAGGGGAACGGGTTACAAGCCAAACGTGCCGGAACCTATCTCCTACCCCTGCTGCCATCGACAGCTCGAATCGCACGAATCGGCGTCGCCACTAGCCGCGGGTCTTCCGCAGCAGCAGCAACATCAACACCAGCACCAGCAGCTTGTAAGCAGCACCAGAACGTCACTGTCACCATGTGGACTTCTACCGCAGCAGCCGTAGCCGCAGCAACAGCTTGCAGCAGCAGTAGCACCACAAGTAGTGCATGTAGCTCCGCCGTTCGCACTCTCACCCGTTCGGAAGAGCTCTGCTCCGACTTCATCCAGCGCCGTTGGAACTCCCTCAGCACCAGCTTCAGCGTCCGCACCACCACCTCCACCTGCCCCCCCCCCCCCC